GAGTAGAAAATGAAGGCTAATCATGTTTTGGGTGTACTATTCCTTTAATATGTTCTTTATACTAGACATGTTGGTCTTCCTAATCCATGATCATTTGATGTTTTTTTCATTTGTTTTTTTTATATTTCCAATGGTGTTTTGGTTCAGACACCCTGTTTCCATTTTGCATTAATTTAGCCACATTCATGTATTTTACTGCTTAGGTTCTGCCACAACTGTCTACATTCAGCATTTTAGCCATCCTTGGATCTCGTCCCACTCTTCAGCCTTCGGTTGTTAAAAACCCGTCGGTTTCCTCACCTTCTTTGTAGGTTGTCTACTGTCAGTTTCCCAGATGCTTTGCTGTTTCCATTCAGTTACCATCATGGTAATCTTGTGGCAATTGCTTATTTTCATTTCTGTCATTAATAAAAAATAGTTTAAAAATAAGAGGCAAACACTGTTTGGTAGGCTTGATTTGCCAGCATTTAGGTCCAACTATTTAAAAGGGAGTTTGCTCTGGTTCATGGTCTTTATACAGAAAATTCTCTCTATTTTTTTTCCCCAACGTATTATTGTCATTACACTAGTTGTGTCACAAGTACAGAGCAACGAAATTCACTCTCTGCATTTAACCCATCCCCTTGGGGAGCAGTGGGCTGCCATTGTGTGGCGCCTGGACAATGTGTTAACTTCTAAATGCAAATCATTACACTACAGTTTATTTAGGGTACCAGAGTAGAGTGGGTAAGCAGTTCTCCCTATGTTGTATTAATGATGGTTTTTGGTTGGATATGGGTTGCAACTGTTGACAACCAAAAGCCAACATTTAGTTGAATGTTAAGTTTTTTATCATCAATCTAATGTTGTCATTTAGCTGGTATTGAGTTTTGTCTGCTAGTAACCAATATCCAAAGTCTGCTCAACTTTTTTTTTTCTCATTGTTTTATTGTAAATAACACTGTCACAAGTACAGCGCAACAAAATTCACTCCCTGCATTTAACCCATTTAACCCGTAGGGAGCAGTGGGCTGCCATTTGCAACGCCCGAGGAGCAGTGTGGGATTAAGGGTTTTTTGCTCCAGGACCCAGCGTGGCAGTCTGTGGGGATCTAACCGGTTACTTGGTACCTTCTCAGAGCACAAGCGCACTGCTCTAAACCACTAGGCCAACACTCCCAAGCACTGAGAACTCAACGTTCAGTGCTAATTTTCAATTGAGAAAGTTATTTAAAGTTAATCCAACAATCTTTTTCACATCATAATTTAATGGTTATCCAACGTCAAACATTTCTTCAATGTTACATCAACGTCAAGTTCCTGCTGGGCTACTAGTGCATTTTTACTAGCAGAGAGACCTTTCCAACTACCTGACTCTGGACTCTTCTGTCCTAGTGGAACCTGCAGCCAAACTCCTCCAGCAGCAAACTGCTGCCACAACCAATCTCAGGCAGTGTTTTTCTTACATCTGATATCAGCTGGCACAGCCCACTCTCTACCTCCCACAACTCTCTATCTACCACACTCACCCAGGTCTTACTAACACTTGCACATTATGTCATAGATGTGGAATCTGCAACAGACCATCTCACTTACGTTTGAAGCAAACTAGACAACCAAAATCAACAAAAAACATGTTCCTTTGCTTTGTTTTACACAATGAGTGTGGATTATAATTAGTAATTTCTGAATATAATGACGCTGTAAATTAATAAACTCCATTGCTTTCTTCTTTCCACCATGCAGGAGTCACAGTGCTTCTGTCCCCTGATATCCCTCTGCAGCTTGGGGTGGACAGCAGAGAGCAGTTCTGCTTGAAGTCTGTGCCAAGTATGGAGCGCCTTCCTCTCCAATATACTGTGTGTGTGGCCCACAACGTCAAAGCTGCTCATCAGGAAGCCGTCCAACAACTTTCTGAGTTCAGCAGGGAGCTTCCAAACATGAAAACGTTGTGGTGAGTTCAGTTTAGATAAAGATAAAACTAGATATGATTTTTTTTCCCCTTCTTGAGTCATAAACCGGCTGGCTCTGTGTATTTTACAGGATGCCATTCTGGAAGTTCCTCACCAATGTAGACACAGGGCCGAAAATGGAGCGAGAACTGAGAACCTTCTCTAATCGTCTGAGGAGACACCAGCTGGGAGAGGGAGTCATCAGCCTTAATGAACATTCCACCACCCTCCTTTCAGAAATGGTACATACTGCGCACATCCTGCTGCCCAATTTTCTAGACTCCTGAAGCGTTCAAGTATCGAATAGTTTTCAAATAACTGTTGATGAAAGGACTATTTAAGTTCCCATATACTGTCTCAGAACTTTAGTTGTTTAGTTACTGCAAAATCTTCATTTTTAGATTAGATTAGATTAGATTCAACTTTATTGTCATTACACAGGTACAGGTACAAGGCAACAAAATGCAGTTTAGGTCTAACCAGAAGTGCATTCCCTCTTGGGAGCGGGTACAAGGTTGTGCACGTGCATTTTTTTTAAAGTGGGTCCTTTCAAAAATTTGTGAAAATCCTCCACTATACCTTTAATGTCCATGTTTTGAAAACCAGTAAAATCTGATCTTAACCAGATTGAAATATTAAATGTTTTCCTTCTAGTTTTATTTTTATTTTTTCCCTGTTACTTAAGATTTCCCCTGTCTAAAAAGTGTAGCTCTTGTGATACACTCAACAAAAATATAAAGGCAACACTTTTGGTTTTGCTCACATGTTTTAAAGATCTAAAACTTTTCAGAGTGGCCTTTTATTGTGGGCAGTCTAGGGCACACCTGTGCGCTAATCGTGGTGTGTAATCAGCATCTTCGGGGCTCCTCTTCCCTCCCTAAAAGACATTTCATCCTAGCGCTGCGTGTCCAGAGTCCGTAACATCATCAATGACCCCTCTCACCCCCACTATGGACTGTTCTCCCTGCTGCCCTCTCGAAAGAGGTTTTGAAGCATTGGATGCAGGTCCAGCAGATTCCATAACAGTTTCTTCCCCACTGCCATTAAACTACTGAATGTCTTGTAAAATGGCTTATTGTATTGTTTTTTATTATATTTATTATATTTTATCATTATATATGTATAAAAAAAACTGAAATAATAGAACTGTAAATTTACAGTCCTGTGTTTATATTACTGTTTATATATATATATTTTTTTTTTACTATTTTCAAGGCTGCACTTTAAAAAAAAAAGGAAATTGTCCAGAGAGCTGTTCTAAACGAAATTTCTTTTTGTTTTACACTCGTGTAAACAAAATGACAAATAAATCATTCTAAGTCTAAAGTCTTAAGTCTAATCTTGATATGGCGCAGCTGTGAGGTGGGATGGATGATCTCAGCAAAGGAGATGTGCTCACTTTCACAGATTTTAACTGGTTTGTGAGCAATTTTTGAGGGAAATGGTGAGATTGTGTATCTGGAAAAAGATTTAGATCTTTGAGTTCATCTCATAAAAAATAGAAGCAAAACCAAAAGTGTTGCGTTTATATTTTTGTTGAGCGTCTTTCTAATAAACCCTTAGAACAGTGAGGATAGTGAGAGTTCAGGGATGTAAACATGTTATGGAATTAAAGCAGACCTCTAACGTAACTGAAGCCACGGGAAACAAAAAAGGGAGAACAGGTTCACTTAAATGTCAAAACTGAAAGAAATGCTGCTTTCATGTTGAAGTACAGTATTATCGGTCAAAACCTTAACCAAACTATAATTTCAGGTTAGGACTACATTAGTGATATTTGCATTGCATGTTATGTTTCATGTCAGTCAAGTTACATCTTGTCAGGGTTGCCCCAAACTGTCCAGAAACTTACACCCTGGTAAAATGGATCCCTGTCAATACCTGGTGATGTTCCATTACAAAGCAAACAAAGCTGAGAGAAGATAAACAGCCTCCTGCTGGGAAGGATCTCAGGTTGCTAAGAGTGCGGTAACTGCATGATAGCGAAGAACTGGATGTGCTGAGATTAAAACAGGATCTAAGCCAATGTCAACTCTGGCAGTTGATCCTGACACCAGTGCAATGCTGTGATCCAACTGGGATCCCACATCAGAGCAGAAAGAGGAGGAGTTCACGGATCCATCATTGTACTGTAAATACGTCATGCTGTAGGCTTTGTGTTCCTTTGTCCTGAAAGGACAAAAAGGGGGGGTAGAACGTACCGTATATCTGTAGCTGATGAACCAGACGTTTTTAGAATCCCTTCCAATAAAGATACTAACCTGCGGTTTCCTTCATCTTGCCATCCTCAGCCCTTGTTCTGATATGAATGCAAAGAATCCAAAATCCAGCAGCTCATTATGGAAAACGTATTAAAGTTTAGTTCAGGAGTGACTAGTACAGTTTCTTATACAACAGGTGTTGGCCACAGTCCCGCAGCTTTTGCATGGATTCCTTTTTCAACACACATGAAACAAATGAAGTTAGTGGGCAGACCTATGCTAAACTCACAGACATGTAAAAAGGTAATTTAGCCTTTTGTTTCAGGTGTGTTGGAGCAGAAAGTAACCTACTCCTGATATACAATTTAATTATCATTTTTGTAATTAACACAGCAAATGTAAGACTTACGCTATAAAGACTAATTTGCCCTTTCTTCCTCCAGTTCTTATATATCCTGGGGTGACACTTCCAATTTTTAGGAGCTTTGGTTGCATACTTAGTTAATCTCAAGTCCTAATCGAAGAGAAAACATGTTGAAAGTTTTTGTTATTAAAGGATAAGCCACATGTTGGAAAAGCATCATTCAGTGTCCCTGTTCTTCTCTGTAGGACCATGACTACCTCAACAGCAGGAAAAGGGGGATGTCCAAGAGACTGACCAGGGACCTCCCACTTGTCAAGCTTCTTAACATTTCCATCACCCTGTCCCCTTTCCTTGGTGTGGACACCAAGCAGTTCCACACCTCCCTCACTGATGGCACAGAGGACTACTGGCTCAGTCTTCCTTCAGCCACTAATGGGAAGCTGGTGAGAACCAATAAGCAAAAACATTTATCCTGTGTGATCTATCTATCTATCTATCTATCTATCTATCTATCTATCTATCTATCTATCTATCTATCTATCTATCTATCTATCTATCTATCTA